GGTACGCATATGTATCGAACAATACAAAATTTTTAATTTATTTTATCAACTTTCCTTCTGACAATGCTCAGTGGATCGCTCACAACATTACAGATAAATTTTTATTTATCCCTATACAACTTTCCGTCTGACAGCGCCCGAATGCGCTTCAGATGTATCTGCGTACTTCACACATACACTCCGCTGTCACTATCAGTCTCCCGTTAGCACATGATTCTCCTTATGGGGACCTGATATGTTTAATATGCTGCTGAGAATATAGCCCAGAAGAAGCGTATAGTATAGCTTTTATTTTGGAAAGAGACATTTCTCTGTAATAAACTCTCTTTTCCAAAGATGAGTGATTTCTCGCTCAGATAGATTTATTATTTTATCCCTTTGTTGTTTCAGCAACATTAAATTTAAAAACTGTACTTTTGAGTTAAAATATATATTTATAATTTTAATAAATGACAAATTAAAAAAGCATGAACATTTTTTGTATCAAAAAAATATCGAACCGTGACACCAAAGTATCGAACCGAACGGTGAATTTTGTGTATCGTTGCACCCCTAGTATTTTCATGACAAATAAAATAAGATGTGGTATTTGACACATCCTACCACATTACACTAAATGTGTTCAGATTTGTTAGCCATGAGGCCCAGTGAATGTGGAAGCTTGATTTCCCCCCAGAAAAATAGTGTTTTTGCTGTGTTTTTTTGTATTTTTGTGACTGTGTGAGCTTCCCGTGACTCACAGCCGCTGTTTTGTTTTTTTCTCCATTCACAGTATTATATAGTTCCCACATTCCTTATTTCATTGAAGTTCTTCCTAATCCACAAGGATTTGAGGGGCACGTTTTAAGTCCGGGTGCATTCTGTGCGGATGACTTGAAAATAATATTGAGGATAGATCTTTAAAGGGAATTTGTACAGAGGACTCATCTGCCTTCTAATGCTTTTGTTTCCATAGTAACCGCTGTCTGTCTCTGCTATATCTGAGGATGTTCCATCTGAAGAAAGACCACGCTGTCAAGTACTCGCGGTCGCTCATGGAGTACTTCAAGGTAACACACACGCGCACACATACTTGGACACAGACTCCATTTCCCTCTTTGCTCGCTCTCTCTCTCTCTCTTTCTCTCTCTCTGTGGAAAACACACAAAGCCAATTACAATCCCTCAAATACATTTCATATTCATTTTCATGGTGCCTGTGCATTAATTTTGCATGGCGTTATTAAATTCCATTCTTTCTCTTTGATATTAATGTATTAATTAGCTCCATCAATCATCACCGTGGATTGTTAGGGTTTAATGTGCTTGTTTTGATTAATTATGTTTAGTTTAATTAATTACTGAGGATGTCATTATCACAGTGCTGCATTTGCAGTGATGGGATTGGATTTCTGGGAAGCGACCGACTGGGGGGTTTATCTGTGCATGTGTGCGCAGTCTGTGTACATTCAGTAAGTGTTGACATAAAGTTGGAGCAGTTCATTTTAAAAAGGAAATGCTACACAACAACAGTCTAACCGTTTCTGTAATACACTTATCACATTCATTTAGCATTTTCAAAATTCACTAACGTTACAACCTATTGTCCAGAAGTTCAGCAGAGGATCACATCGTTTTAGCATTGCTTTTGCCGGACTGAAGGGTTTTATTACAAAATACCTTTTACATGATTAGAAAATGTGATTTGATCTGATTAATTGCCTCAAACTGTCACGGTTCTGTGTCCGTTGGACCCAGTATTTTGAGTTTATTATGTTTTGGTTTATTTTTGCATTATGGATTGTTTTCTGATGTTCTGGTGCTTTGTTTATTATTATCATTATAGATCTGTTTCTGTTATTCTTGGTGAGGGATCAGTTCTTAGGTTTTGGGTTCTCATGTGTGTTGCAGTTTCTGTTCAGTGTCTAGTCTGTCTCTCAGTGTCATGTCTGCATCTGGTTTAGTAATTCTTGTTTCCTGTCTTATTGTGAAAGTCTTTGTCTTATGTTAGTGTGTGCAGCTTAGCTCCCCCGTCTCGTTAGCCCTGATCTCCCCCAGCTGTGTCTCCCTTCTGTTGCCCATTCCCTCATTACTACCCTGTGTATTTAAGCCCTGTGTTTTCCCATGCTCGGTGTCGCGTCGTACCATCAGATTATGCCTGTGTGTTTCTGTTCTCCATATTCCATGTTCACTTCATGTTTTGCTTTCGTACCAGCAATAAAGCTGAGGTCTTTGAGTTTCAAGTTAGTGTCTGAGTCCTGCGTTTGGATCCTCCTCTCTGCACACAGAGCCCTAACACAAACTTAATTCATTTAAGTCTAATACTTCAGTCTGGCAGCCTGTCATCTATCAAACTGAAGATTTTTATTCTTAATAAATAAATTAATATTTTTCTTGATCCATCGTCCTTCATCCATGAACTGAAAAGTTGACAAAAACAAAACTATATTGGATGCATAAAGTTAAAAAAATATTTATATTTGCTGGATTATTTACTAAAGTAAGAAGAATGCAATATATAAGGTTTGTGTATTTTTAGTGCTAGTACGTGCTCATCCTGTTTGTGCTGTTAGCAAACTGATACAGCTACATACATTAACAACCCACCTTTCTGTGTGGAGTTTGTATGTTCTCCCCATGTTTGCATGGGTTCTACCTGGGTACTTCCTATCACAGTCCAAAGACATGCAGTTAGCGGGGTCAGGTTAATTCATGACTCTAAATTGCCCAAAGGTGTGAATGTGAGTGCGAATGGATAGAAAAATGTAAATGGATTAAGACAACATATCAGTCAGTTATTGTATGAAAAAATAAGTATGATCTTATACTGATCAGCCACACACTGTTCACCCTGTAGTGTATAATAAAACATTGATATGCAAACTTCTGTTTGATTGAATACAAAGCCACACATATCAACAGTTATTTATCTGATATTAAGCTTTTGATATTATTTCAATGTAACTATACATGTAATGTAAACATACTATAAATAAATAAACATAAATAAAATATAAATAAAAATCACAATGTAGAGCTATCAAAAATGGATATATTCAGTATTTGCTACATTTCATCTTTCTGTAACAAACTTAAAGTGATACAATGTTTAAAGTGTTACAGGTGCGTAAATGCTACAAATGGATCATTTTCGTATTGTGTTACAAATGTAACATTTAGCGATGTTATGTGGCTGCTAGGGGCAGTTGGCATCATTTTATCTAATATAGTTAAGAGCAATGAGCGGGCTAAGCTGTGCCGCAGTACCGGGTCTAGCAGCTCAACTCCTGACTGTGTAGGAGGAGACTGCGGGCAAACTATTTGACTATTTTTTTGCATTATAGTCAAATGAACAGATATCTGTTGGGATCCATGTCTAAATGAATTGTGAGTAAAAAGTACATAATCCCCATGAAACCAGATTTTTATTTTATTTTTTTTTTTTTTACACTCACTTTTGTGTGAATTAAATAAACAGGATATTGCGCAATAATTACTGAGCTGTAGGGGTTCTAGTTAACCTCCTAGGACCTGGCGTCCATATATGTGGACATCACATTTTGGGTTGTCTAGACCAAAATACTAAATTTTGCTCTACAAGAGCCTGATATCCAGTTACGAGGACATTATACTACCTCTGTTTTTATCACAATTTAAAACAAATATCCTCATATGTGGATCTCATTTTTCTTAGAAACAAAAATTGGGTAAAAAAGAAATCTGGTGATTCTTTGTTTTTGCATTCATCGAGTTCCAATCAGCCCAAATATCAAAGAGAAATTAAAAATTCATGCCATGGAAGAGTTCAGGTCTTAGGAGGTTAAGCTGTACTGTTATTGTAGTACACAGAGACAAATGTGTTGTTTTTCTAATCCATGTTATCATTTTTTATTCTTCATGTCATAGTTTTTTGCTGTATGCAAAATGGCATTTTATTCTAACAGTGGAGGAACGTTTACTTAAAGTGCACTTCAGCACAAGTTTGTTTTTCCAGTCTATTCCTAATCACACAGCTGTGGCTACTCATTAGTTTACAATTAAAGATTTACATTTAAAAACTTGGAGTACAGATCTTCTAAGTTTATTTGCATAAAGAGGTCAAGTTGTTAACTATTTCACAAAAAAACAAAATATTGTTATTTTTTTCTTCACGATCCTTTTATTTTTCTGTGAAACCAACTAATTTGAATTCTTAAAATTCACCAGCATTTTCCTCGTATTATTAATAGTGCAGTGTTTTGGAGGTAGGACTGCACCTGTAATTTGTTTTGTTGTATTTACTGGAATGAATGAGCTGACTCCTTCCTCTACAGCTGGAGAGCTGTAAACAACACTGTTTAATGTCAAAGGAGCTTGCAAAGAAAAGCGTCTGGACTTCTTTAAGTTACTTGAAGACGTTTCATCACCTTGGCTCAGGCGATTAGAGGATCATCAGGGGGTCCTTTTGTCCCTCTGTGGGGGGATACTCCCACTAGGTTTATATCTGGGACTCTCCACCATTTGACCTTAGAACTGAAGAAGCTTCTCGGATGAGAGGTGAAACGTCTTCAAGCAACTTAAAGAAGTCCAGACACTTTTCTTTGCAAGCTCCTTTGACTACGATGACCTGGATGACTGAGAACCTTCACAGACACACAACACTGTTTAATACATTTCTGTTTTTGTTATTCAGAATTCAGCCAAGAGTTCCCACCAAGCACCCTCTCCCTGGAGGACCAATGGAAAGTGAGTATACACACACAGACACACACACACACACACACATGCAGTACCCCCCCCCCGCGCACCTTGATAATTGAAAATTTATAATTCACCGGAGCTCTGCTGCAGAATACCGTGTCGACCCTGACAGCCACTTGCTCAAACAAACCTTCAGGAAGCAAATAAAGGGACTGATTTGTTGTAGATGTGAGAAGACTGGAAGGGCTGCTGGGTGTTGGGTGAGAAGGAGTGATGGAGGGAGTGATGATAGATGGAGGAGGAGAGGCGTGGAGGAGCTGCGGATGTGAAGCTAATGAGTTTGGACAGCTATGACGCTGCACAGCAGCAGGACTGGGCTCAGTGTGTGTCTGTGTGTGTGTGTGAGTGGGGGGGGCACTGAATCAGGCACAAGTTGTGGGTCAGCAATGGTCAAGGCCACATCACAGACATTACATCATGTCAGGAGCACACACACACACACACACACAGAGCTGTGCAGGACAGGGAGCAGTTTGCACTAATGTATCCACGTCAAAGCTCTCTGTCACCATTTCTATAGTTTGCTGTAATGCCAATAACAAAACACTGTTAATCTATTTTCCTACACGGTCAATGTAATGAGTTGTTACTCTTTACGTTGACCATGAGTCACAGGGGGGTAAAGAACCCACCTCCTTCGAGCATGCCAACAGCTCCACATGAAGAAAAAAGAAAAGATGACGTCTCTCTATTTATGCTCACCCTCATATTTAAAACAAATAAAATACTGATATGATGTTGATAATACCGGTGCTACATTAAAATGGAAAAACAGAAGAGGGGGGGGGGAGCACAGGACACAAAGAGAGATTTGAACAGTAACATTGTGACAAGAAAATCTTTGTAACTGGGAATGATTTCCAGACTGGGAAAAATAAATCCTTAAAAATTGTGCTGATGTCTGGCTTTTGATATTTACATAGACAAAGTCCAAAGTCAAAATTCAAAACATGAACACACAGTATAAAAACAATTCTGAGAGCACAATAATTAACCTCGTTCTGACCACATTTGTATGTTGTATTTTTTTGTGTTTATTTTCTTTGGTGGATGTTTTAACAACCACGTACAGTTCGGTCCCACAGACAATCCTGATGTGACCAAAGTGCAGATGTTTTATAAACGTTTTGCACTGTTTTAGGAATTAAAGACATTTTTCTAATAAGTCCCACATTTTCAGAGGCTGAAAGTAAAAGGCTGCTCTATTGGATCGAGCTGTCCAGTTTTTAAGCCTCTAAAATCAGGGATTGTTTATCCTTATCCAGGGTCACAGTTGAGTTAGCATCTATCCTAGCTGTTATAAGATGTTAGGCAGGGACAGCCTGGACAGGTTGAGTATATCACAGTAACTCCTAAACAGTTTATGCAAAATCCTTGTAAAACAAGGTGTTTTACAAGGATTTAAGTCGGCACTTAAATCCATCGTGGTAGATAAGTACAAAAATCCTGCTTTAACCTTCGTTTAGCTCCTTGCATCCGTCCCCTTATATGTACGCGTCTGTCTCTCGTAAGCAAACATGTCTGTGTGCTGAGGTCGGATATTTGATATGGATTTCTGTGTGTCTTGTTTTACTTACTCAGGAGGTCCATCAGCATTTTTCAGCTGATTGTTTTGGATGTGAGGCCACACTTAAAAAATGATTTGGTTCGGTCTCATCTGTTGCTGTTTTTGCCGTTCCAGCTGTAAACACACAACATTGGCAAACCACGGATAAAAAGTCAGACTTTCGCTTAGAGTCGTTGATGACAGAGCTAAAGGGAGACAGAATTTTAGACCTACATTCATCTGGTGACCAGCAGCACAGCTGCAAATCAATTTTAATGCTGCTCTGCGGGCAGTGGAACAAGCTATAAACACCACACTGACAACAAATGGCCAGAAAAACATAATAAGAGCAGCTTTAAAAATCACACTGACAGTATTGTTGCAAATAGTTTCCTTCTTATTCCCTGCTGCCTTCTGTAATGTGACAATATTTGACTTTTCTTGCAAAACCTAGAGACGGTTTAAAAGATGGAAGTAGTTCCGGTCCAACAAGCGAAGTGCTTTTAATCTAATGTCCAGCAGGGGGCGCCTCCCCTGGTTACAAAAAGAAGACATCGTTGAGTTTAGTAAACACTTTCCTGATTTGGCTCATTCACTGGTTTCCAGTATTATAGTTAAGCTACTTTCAGCTGGTCCCTTTTCACACCACAGCAGGAAGCTCCACACCACATCCACTTCCTAAGACAACCCCAAAGAGGATTTGTGTGTCCTGCTGGAATCAAACCAGCAACCTTTTCCTTATCAAACAAATGTGCTAACCACTTCCTGGTATAATAGAATAAAAATGTATTAAGTAATTGTATAATTTCATTTTTAAAACCGTGGTCTTTATTAGAGTCTGAAGGCTGGATTATCCAGCATGTGTCTGTTAGTCGTGCCAATGGGCACTCGCTGTCCTGGCTTTCAAAGTCAAACTCGCACTCATCACAGCTGGTTTTAAAGCAGCAAGAAGGCGAGGGGGAAAATCTCCAGCTCAAGCCTTCAAAACAGGACTTCTCCATGAGAGATGTCATGAGAGATGGAAACATTCATCTTTTATACTGTCTGTAGCAAAACTGCTCGACTGCAACTACAGCATCTATCACATCTAACTTGAGTTAAGATCACAAGCCGGTCACTTGTTGACCGCCTGACATATAAATTATACAAACAGCACAGACATTGTAATAATTATTAAACTGAGGTAAAAACAGTGAAAAGGTCTTTTTTATGGCATACAGGAGCTCCCTGTGATGTCACTGGGACTTATTGCATTTCCATATTTTCAGGGTCAACGGGACTCCGTCTCCTCTGTCGCTTAGCCCTTCTCCAGCCAGCAACGGAGGAGGAGCGGGAGGAGGATCCGGAGGTGCACCGGGGTCATCGGGCAGCGTGGCAATTCCCCAGCGGATTCACCACATGGCTGCCAGTCACGTTAACATCACAAACAACATCCTGCGGAGCTACGAACACTGGGAGACGTCTGACAGACTGGCCGCTGAGAGCCAAGGTAGGACGGCACAAGAGCGCGTACTGCTGGATGTATTTTCACATGGGCGCCAATACGCTGCTGAATATTTACTGTCACCACCGCAAGTTCATATCTCTAACATCTGGATACATGATGATTAACATGACAGGCATGCAAAGTATGCCATGTACATGTGACTCATACATGTGGTAAAGGAGTCAGTTTGAGTAAAACAGCTTTACTCACGTGTTGAAGATACTGAGAAAGACTGCTGAACACATAAAAACTTTCAGCAGGAGTTTTTGTTTTTATTTTTATTTCTTATTTATTTCTTATTATTTATTTGATCCTCTCTGTGAGCTCTTTGCAGAGGTTTTAGCCATAGACTGTATATCAAAAATGGGTACCAACAATGAAGCCAGTGTCGGCCAGCAGGGGGCGACTGCATGGTTGTAGGTGTGGTTCTATGAGAACACCCCCTGCTTCTACTTGGTCTACGACCTCTGTAAAGACTTTGTGTAAATTATGGTTACACAAAGCAGAATATGTTATCAGTCACAAAGGTCAATGAAGGATCACAAACAGGCCGGCCAATCTTAAGATTTACAAGTTACTACCATGCTGGAGCGCTGAGTGGAAGTACTCATTTTTCATTTATATCCAACTTACTGTGGAGGTTTTCTTGTTGTATTTTTTAGACTAAAGGCCTTTACACACCGGAAACCTAAAACCTGTCCAAATATTTTATGTGTTAAAGTTGTTTTTCGGATTTGGCTATTCTTAATGGAGCCATTCACACCGAATGGTCGAACTTGCAGCATTTCTTTTTTTGGACCAAGCTTGATTTTTCAGATTTGATTTTTAGGATGCGAGTAAAAAGATCAGACCAATCAGGTCGCTGCGTTTGGTAACAAGTGCACTCATAGCTCAGAACTTGCACCAGTACTAAATATACAAATAGTAAAATAATACTGTTTTATTCAGACACAGAGCAGCTAGATGCTGCTCCGGGCTAGTCGATTCTTAGAAATGACTTTTCTGTCCCATCAGATCAGCTCAGCTGCCCCACTGATATCCTGAAATATGAACCAAAGCACTCCTGGATCAAACCATGAAATCCTCCCCCTGCTGCCTTCTCTTGAGAATTAAATGAACCCAAAATCATCTCAGTTTCTTCCTTTTGTTTTTAGAAATATAAGGACCAGCTCATCATCGCTCGATGTCGACTTCATCTTTTGTTATAGTGCGGGTTTTTTTGGTTTTGGTTTTGAAGACAAAAATACAACGTGTTCGGTGTAATTCTGAATTTCTCCATTTGCAACGACCTTAAGACTAAAAGCTAGTCTACACTGGTGTCCACAAAAAACAATTTGAGCTGATGTTGTAAGCAACAACCACAGAAAGTGACATTTGGTGATTTAAAGTGTTGACGGGCAAAATAATCCCAAATTAAATTTTCCTCAGCTCACAAACGTGTGTTTGAAGCAACTACCAATTAGAGTGAAGGATACCACTGATTGGCAAATGAGAGAGTGGTTAATATGTTAGGTTACCGTGGCAACCAGGGTCTGTAACGTCTACCAGTTACCAACCAACCAGCACCAAACCGATTTGTGATGAGTTGCTTCCTGTGTGGTCGCCCGTATAAACATGAGCTGTATGAAAGTGAATGTTAAAGCTCTTAAAACCTTTGCAGAGAAATGTTCACTAGTCGACTAGTGAAAACAGACGCCAGGCGTGGCTTGTAGGACCAGCAATGAAGAAAGAACGAGCCTGACTTTTGCCCCATGTTGCCCACAGCTCCACTGGAAAAACACCAGCTGTAGTTTGTGTGTTTCATTTAAGCACAGAGGCGCTCTCAGTAACACTGTCTGTCTCCCTCCTTCCCTCCCGTAGATTTCTTCCAGGAGCTGGACTCTGTGATGGAGCCGTTGAGTCAGCAGAGCAGCATGACAGAGCTGGTTCGCTACGTAAGGCAGGGACTGCACTGGCTCCGCATAGAGGCTCACCTGCTGTGAAGACTGGACTAGAGCCAACATTAAGAAAAAGAAGAAATGGGCTGGGAGCTAGAACTCAAGTGAGATGAGACCCAGAACGATGCTTCAGTTCCCACTGGGATCCTTTGAATGTCTTTACACCATGCATGGTAATATAATGGCTTACACCAGGTGGATTAATTGGGCTGAAATCACCTTTAATTAGGAGTGAACAGTAACTAAGTTTGGGAATTTCAGCTGTGAACCACAGAATACAAATGATCATATTAACAATTTGGCTGATGCTGCTTTTTTGGGGGGGAGCAACAGTATACAAGTGATTGTAGCTTTAACTCCTGAAGGGAACGCACATGTTCCCAACCTCATCTCCCAGTTTCACTGAGATGGGTTCATTCTCCAACAGACAAGTGTGAGGCTGAATGTAGGGAAAGAGCCTCAACAGAGGCTCACCTCTACCAGCAGTGGACCAGAAATGTGTCAATGATTAGGAAAGAATTAAAGCTTTAGGCTGATATTGATCCAAGTGGAAGAGTACCAGTCCAATCTATTAGTTAGGGACCACACTGGTAAAGAGGCTCAGCTACAACCACTAATGGAGGCTAAATTCATTACACTTCTTTTATTTCACTCCATCTTCAGTCTTTAAAGAGGGATCCTCAACAACCAACCAAAAGCTAGAACCTGCAGTTATTAGTTAGTACAGAGTTACTTTATTACATTTAAAGCCTCAGTCACACTAGAGAAAACAGGACAGCTATCTGTTTGTGACGGGGAGGATCACCTGTTGATCGGTGACTGCACTGAACTTGTTCCACTTACAGTGAGTCGGTGCAATCAGCTGGTTGCCCAGAGATTGAGCAGCACTCAACCTCTGCTTCACCACTTCCAGTTGCAAGGCAGTTGCACAAGTTGACAGGTTGCCTGTCGAGCAGCAACCTGTCTCCAAACAGAGTGCAACTCAGACTGACTGCAGTCGCTCTCAGACAGATTCGATTATTGCAATCAGTCTGCACAGATGAGCACAACTTGACATATTTGCGACAGGGAACTCGGCTCAAATGGTTGTTGCGTTCTGCTTATATTCCTACATCAAAGCAAGACTGCCGAGCCCCCACATCAGGAGCTACGTGACTTTTGCTGGAGGAATTTCTGAGTTCCTGTTTCCAGTCTATGATCTTCTGCAGTTCATGTCAATTTGTGTGCCTGTAGACGGCAACATATTTGTGACAGATGGCAACAGATTTGATATTTTCACCGATTTATTGCCATTAATCCATGTATTATCACAAACAGATTGCACATATTTGCCAGCTTGACCCAGTTCACAATCGCAAAGTGACTCCCTGTTTTTCACCATCGTATTCCACCAAAGTAGGAGACTGAGCAGTCGGACACCTGGTCGCCATTTTCAGAGCAACCGTTTCAGAGTTTCCCTAGTGTGACTGTAGTGTGACGTGATGACATTTCGGTTTAGTAAAAATATCTATTACTCTGGTTTAATTTGGGAGTAAAGAAGTTAAACTGTTACTCTCAACAATGGCAAAATTAACTTATTGGCAGTTCAGGAAGAACCTTTATGCCACATTTAATTTCTGAAAAGCACACAGTGCAGTTGGGTTTTGTGTTTCTCCTCAGTATCACACAGACAGTCTAACCCACTCCCACCAGGCAAAGCCCGAGATTCACACAGTTTAAACAAACGAGCACTAGCAAAAAGGGAATCCTTCCTAATGAGATTTTTGTATTTAAATGAGGATCTTTTGACCAAATAAAATTGTAAACTACATTACAGGTACAATAGGGCAAAGCTTCAAAAATATCTAAAGTCTTGTAGTATAAGTTGAAGTTTCAGTTTTGTGGGCTACCAGAACAAACATCCAGTTTGCTGGACCTACAAATAAGGGCTTTCTTCCATCACATAAAGCATCTGTCTGGTTCTTCTCTTGCTGGTTATGAGCTTTTGTGAAATTCCACTCAGTTCTAGTTCCCATAGTAACCCACCAACTAAGGCGTCAAACACTTACTGGGGGGAAAAAACTACAAGATTCAGTATGATTTGGCTCTAATTAAGCCCCCACCCACATGCAGAGCAAGTAAACAGGGTGAAACTGTCACATCGGCTTTTCTGCCCTGATGTCAGAAACAAAAACTATATCTGTGACTTTGTACAGCACGTAATGAGATCAAATCAACTGCCGGGTGTCTTATAGTCGTTTCCCCACATTTGTTGTGCTGTGTCGTTAGTGTGTATACGTGTACAGCTTATTGTGAAGTCTATTTAAAATCATTACCTGACCGAACAATAACGATGTTTGTGTACAATAATGTACAGACTGTGACTCCTGAAAACAGTGTTTCTTGTGTCTTGTGAATGATTCAATGTGAGCGAATGAGGAAGTGCTGCAGGTAAATGGGGCATCTACGTGTGTGTGCCAGCGCGCAGGCTATAGCTGCATTTACAAAGCGCCAAAGTGATTTTGAAGTCATCGTGGCGCATTAAAAACAAGAGACCACGCTGTTTCTACGTTTTCACGTTCGCCATCAAGACTCCAAATCAGTTTATTATGGTCTTTGTAAATCCAGCACATTAAGCATGAATTTTTAAGTTTTGGATCATTTGACCATCGCTGAATGTGTATGGAAGACAATGCAGATGTGAAATGTAATTTTCACTTTGACAAAAACAAAAAAGGAAAAAAAAAAAAGGAAACTCAAGTGCCTCTATTTGTGTCCGGTGGGAATTGCTCTATTTATTTAAAACAAAGAATGAATCTAAATGATTTTCCATACCATATTGGTATAAATATGAGATTGTTTTTCGTAAAATCAAATGTTTCCATAAGCTTTTTACTGGCGTTTATGAAGACACCAGGGTTTGGCTTTAAAAGAAAAAAAAGAAAAAAGCAAACAAACAAACGTGATAATGTGCCAAATTAGCATCTGTTGCTGTGTTTTCTCTTTTTGACAGTTTGAGCAAGTATAGGTTTGTCTGAAATGCCTGAAATTTTTAAGTCATCGCATGCAATAAATGATAGCTTCAGACCAAGAACTACTTGTGTCCATTTTGACAAAAAAAAAAAAAAAGTATATTTCTTGTTACATAAGTCACATGCAGTGTTGCAAAGGTCGACGTCTCATGAAAATACACAGCCATTTAAATGCACAACGCTACAGCTAACAGTCTGAAACCTCAAGAACATTAAACCTTAAAGAAATAAGTGGACATTTTGGGAATATTTTTCTTACTTCTTTCTGAGAATAAAAACTCATATTTGTATATGAAATATAAAACCTATAACTAACAGCTAGTTTATGTAAATTAGTAAAAAATTTAAGCTCAGTATAAAAGATTGACGTAACCACCCAACAGTCTTCAAAAACTACAGTTTTGAAGCTTTATATCTTTCTTTGTTTTTGAATCAGATGTGACTGTTTTAAAAAAGAAGAGGCTAAGCTAGCTTGTCTAGTTACAAGCTAGCCTTTTTAGCTAGCTATATTCACAATTCACTGATATAACTGGGAAGCTAATACTAGCTATTGCTATTAGCTTAAAACAAAGTAGGCGAAAACCATATCAAACAAGTGGTTATGCCCCCTATACATAACTTGCTTTAATACAACAAATAAAATTCAAATGGTTTACATTTGAATTTGGTTGTACGCTAAATTTATGTTTTTTAAACGGTATAAAAAATGGACGTAGCTAACATGATATCCCATTTTAGATACTAAACATTACCATTTTCACAATTTTAGTTTCAAAATACCAGATGCCACAAGGACAGGTGGGTTTAAACATGAAACCACTTGCTCACTGGTGAACCACTTGTTATTAATAAATTAGTTAGCTAAGTAAGTTAGCTAAGGAACCAAATTATCCTACACATCCAAATGTAGTATAACCAAGACTTACAGTGTTGCCAACTCCTCAGTAAGGAAAATCGCTATTGGTTGTCCTAAAAGTCGCTAGAAGTCGCTAAATGACGTCATCGCCTAATTTGCATAATTGGTCATACTAATGTAATTGTAACCTAAGTTGTTGGAGAGAGAAACAACATCGTGGAAGAGACATAAAGTGAGTAAAAATTGCATTTAGAACTACAAATTAAATTTCTTTCAGCAATTATTGGGTTTTTTTATGTCACAGTTCCAACCCTGCTCCTTTATCCGGGCTTGGACCGGCAAAAGTAACCCGAAAATGGCACTCTGGTGGAGTTACTTTGTGTGAGTGGGTGTGTGTTTATAAGTAGTTTTAAACCTTGTGATCCACAAAACAGCATAACAGTAAAAGACTAACTGCATTACAGTCAGTGCGGGAGCAGCGGCTTCGCTTATGCGCGATTCATTTGCAGTCTGGACGCACAGGTGTGAACATCTGCTGCCCTGATAGCAGCGGGGGGTGGACTATCCTCCGCCTGTGAGCGCTTTGGCATGGGTGAGGTGCCCACGGCAGCACCGCTGCTTGTTGAGAATAAGAGCGATACGCGTTTTTAACGTCAAAAAGTCGTCATAAATAAGTCTCCAATAATACCAGAAAAAGTCGCCAAATTTGTTGCTAGTCGCTTTTTAGAAAAAAAGTTGCTAAGGGAGTCTGAAAACTTGCTAAATATAGCGACAAAGTCGCTAAGTTGGCAACACTGCTTACATAATGCACCATACGGTAACAGCAACCACAGCTAGTGCCATCTGGTGGCCTTCAGAGACAATGCAGGTTTAAGGCTTAATTTTTTGACCTAGAAGCTACGTTCATGTTTTATACGTGTATGCTGATGCTAGCTACATCTAGCGTTTTACTGTTTAAACATTGGAAATAAGACTATTTCCCAAAATGTCAAACTGTTCCTTTAAAATGGACTCATGGTTCTTCATCTGAACGACTAAAATGCTTACTAATCACCATTTAGACAGCTGTCCAAGCTCCACTTTCTGTTGCTTAACAATAACGCTTTTTACAGTTGTTTCTTGTATTTATTTGAGGTCTTGAAGCCAAATTAGGATTGTCCCAGCGAGCCACTGAACTTCTACAACAACCTGTAAACACTACCCACAAACAGTTTCTCTCTGACCTCAGTCGTTTCAAGTCGATAGTTGGTCCGCAGTGTTGCTCAGTCCAATTCAATGATGTTTGGTGTTGTTTTGTTTTATGGTGAAACTGTGATGTTACTATATGGTTATTGTTAAGTTCACTTAATGGTCCCTTATTCTTCTTGTATGCAGCGGTACAATATACAATAATATGCTGTAAAAAGTCAGAAACATTGCATTTGTGACATGGGAAATATCAGTTTCATTCCACTATGCTACATGTCACATGACAGCTATGGTAAATGTTGAATTCATGCAACAGTTTATTTATATGCAATGTCAATATGTGGGTATATTCTGAAACATTTTGAAGACAGACTTTTCTCAGCATGGCCTTTTATTCTGCTGGCATCTTATTAAATATCCCATTAGCTCCTGTTGCATTATCACAGTTGTCAACTTGTTTATCGAAGGCAGAAACATCATCACTGCTGTTGTGATTACAATAGAGCTAAACACACTGATTTATTTTTTGACAGCAGATGGTAGCAAGCCGATAATACACTGATAATCTCTCCAGTAGTGACGAGTGTCTCTAATATTTGTTTGCATTTCACAAAATCACAGATTCGCTTTGATTGCCAAAACTGTCTCATACAATAAATGAACTAGCAGGATTTAAAAGGATAATAAAGGGTTTGATTTTTTTCTTCTCAAATTCCTGTAATCTACCAGAGAGATGTTTTCTTTTCTTTTGTGTTCGTCCTCATTCGTTCTACTGTCAGAGTCATGCAGCAGTGTTACAAATAAGAATTATCCAATAAATAAGAATTTGTTGAGGTTAGTGGAAGGAGACGTTAATATGCTCTTCACAAAAACAAGAAATATGATCGATAATCAAGAGATAACCAACAAGCATCTCTCTGAATGTTCTTTAGTAAAGAAAAGTTGGCATTTCTGGAAATGTTCTGATTTGCCTTACAAAGTGATGAATACATCAGCACCACTCTCACGTCACTGTAAGTTAGCCTAGCTTGGCATTAAGCTAGAAAGCAGTGGAAAACTACATCCCTATCTCTATTCAAAGTCTAAAAACTGCACCTCTAAAACGAATACATACAGCTCTGCTATCACTTCCAACATAAATGAAGACAGAAAACTAAACAGCAGTGATGTTTGTAAGGTTACTGGAGTTGGGCTAGCTGGTATATAATGATGTGCTATGTTAGCATAATGCTAACTTATTTTTCCACTGGATAAAAGTTAACATGAGGGTTCCCGATGGTTAGGGACAAATGCAATCGCATGGTAGGATGCTGTAAACGGACCAAACTTCAGTCAGAAGAACAACTGAGATAATCCCTCCGCAATGCGAGGTTAGTCATTAATATACTGCAACAACATGGGAATAGAGCAGCTGCCAGAAAATTCGACATTAATGAATCAATGGTACAGAAGTGGAGGAAGCAAAAGAATGAGTTGAGTAAAGTTTGACATATCTGACTGTTTTGTTTCGCTTAATGCGCCTTATAAACCGGTGCGCCTTATGGTCCGAAAAATACAATAAATTAATATCTTGGTACAATTTCTAAGTCATATACGAATACTGACATTCTGCACCATCTTGTGGTTCAGAATGGTACTACACCAGAATCTTAACAGCGACATACAACATAAACTACAACATAATATTCACAATTAATATTATACAACACTAAAAGAAAAGGATTACATTTGAGGGGCCTTAAAGTCGCCTGCCTTGTGTTATGGGATGGGTAGTTCACCAATAAAAGTATTTATGTACACAGTCTGCTATTTCTGCATAGTCATGATTCACTTCATATCTGTGTTGCTTGGTTCAAAGCTTGAATAAACATTCAAGCCTTTTGTTCAAGGCTTGAATTTGTGGAAGTGGGAAAGTCATTTCTGGAACCAGAGCCCTTAAAAACATGGGCGGCCACAAACATGCTGCGATTTCAGATAATATCTCTGCAGTACGATACTTAGCCGCTTTCTGTTGATGGCAAAATATTTGAAAAATATAGAAGTAAAGAACGCGCCATCTCTTGGAGACACTCTGCAATTGAGTTAAAATTAGTGTATTCATAGTGGAAAGTAGAGACACCCCAGGAGAGAGAGGGCGGAGTCTCTGTCCAGCAGTTCTAAGTGGCTGTATCGTTAGCCCATTTTAGAAGATTAAGCCCACTTTTAACATTTTAGCTAGGCTAGGCTAGGCTAATGAGCTTATGGTTCTGAGCCCATATTAAACATCTGGCATGAAAGTAGTGTCCTGAAAAGAAAAGCAACGAGAACATTTCCTATAATGCCTATTGACGAGGATAGATAAAATATTGACTATTCTAAAATAAAATTTCTATTAATAATCAGCACTTCAGTTGTATCATGTTCTCTATTTTACAGTATATTGGAAAAGTGGAAAAAAGAAAAAGCAAGATCATATTTCCAAATAGTCCATGATATTCCTTCTACGATCACATGACCTTCTACCATGAAGCCTTCACTGCCTTGTGTGTAGCATTTCTGTGATTGCTATTTTGCTTTTCTTCCTGGAACATAACAGTGTTAAATCATGTGGGAAATCAAAACGGTCCAAGTGTAACCGACCCATTTAACAGGAAGTTTCTTTAAGGTTTTCAGTCGCTCTGTTCCCTGCGGTGAAAAACTGTTGCTCGAATAAGCTCGTTTCTGCTCCGCGACTCTTAATAATGTCCAAATTAATCTCGAGAAGGGCAGCAGCTTTTAAACTATAATAGTGTAATTGCTCAAGATTCATTGGTGAAAAATTGTCATCAGCTCGTCTAGCCTTTTTCTCTTTCATCTTTGTTGCGGTGGAAGAATAG